CTGTAATAATTATGTAGTACAAAAAAAAATAAAAATTTGAAAAAATAAACAATAGGGGCAGGGAAGATGGCTCAGTGAAATAAACGTTTCCCTGGCAAGCGCAAGGGCCTGAGTTCAATCCCTGGTTCCACAAAAATAAATAACTAAATAAAAAATAAAAAATAAATAAACAGTGGATGAAAATATCTAAGCATGGGAGGAAATATGAAAGTTCAGATTAATGAGACCCAACAAAAGAAAATGAACAATGATGTAGAGTGTGCCTAAGGACAGTCACATGGAGGGAAAACCTTCTCTCAGGCTTTCACAGAGAGCAAATTGGTCAAACAATAGCCATGACTCATCCACAGGGCTGACACTGACAAAGGATCTGCAAACTGTGGTACAGGGTTTCAGGATAAATCCTGAGGGCATTTGACTGACTTTATCACATACAAAAATTTCTTGTAAATTTCTCGTAAATTTCTTGTTAAGTAGGTCTTGCTTTATCTTAGTCTTAACCATCCAGCATAAAAGTATAAAAACAATGTAAAGCCATGTTAATATGCTGAGCTGTAAAAGGCTCAAGTCAACAACTTCTGACATTGTCAGTCTTACAGAAAACCCACTAATATTATGGACTCCTGGACTATATTGGAATATTTTGCTGAATTCATGCGCCTATAATATTTAAATGACAATGGAATACCCTTCTCTGACAAAACTAAACAAAAAAAGGGATACAAGTGAACAATCATTTTGTATCCATATATTTGAAATAGTTAGGATAGATACACAGCTACATCCTCTTAATTCAATGAATAGAGAGATTTGTTCTAATAATGTTTGTAAACAGGATATCATCTGCATCTTGTACAATGAATAACCACTAAGACAACAGTATGCAATGTATAAATTATTGAAACTGTCCTACTAATCATATTTGAAACTGTCCATTGATATTTGTTTCTCAATAAAATTATTGGAAAAAAATAAACTTGCTACATGAAAATTGTAAAAAAACCAAACAAACAAATTGATGAGGCCCAAATAGCTTGAATCAGACACAATTAAATTGTCAGAAGTCAAAGGTGGGGAGAATTTTGAAACTAACAAGGGAAAGGCTATTAATTCCAAGGGAGACTGAGGCAAAGATTCTTAACAACTTTCATACTAGAAATCTTGAAGGCCAAGATGAAATGGGTTAGTACGTTCAAATATTAAACGGGGAAAATCTGCCAATCAACAATACTGTACCTGCCATAGTTGTCTTATGGAAATGTACAGATAAAATTCCAAAATAAAGAGATGCTGAGGAATTTAATCACCACTATCCCTATCTTATTAAGAAAATTATTTTAAATATATTTATTAAAATGTAGCCAGTATCATCAAGAAATCAACTAATAACAAATGCAAAAGAGACCGAAGGGGAAAAGGAACTCCTCTCCACTGTGGATGGAAGTGTAGACTCATGTAACCTCTGTAGAAAACAGTGTAGGGATTCCTCAAAAAACTAGGACTAAACCTTCCATTCAACCTAGCTATTCTCCTTCTGTGTATTTTTCCAGAATTGAAAATATCATACCACAGCAATATATGTGTACCCATGTTTACAACAGCACAGTTTATCATAGCTAAATCTTGGAGACTACACAAATGCCCATCCACTGAGGAATGGATAAAAAAGTTGTGGTATTCACATTCAATGGAATATTACTCAGCTATAAAGATAAACTTGAGGCTTTCATAAGGAAATAGATACAAATAAAGACAATACTCATAAGTGAAATAAATCTGACCTGCGTGTGTAAACATCATATTGTCTCACTAATATAAGAACCTGATGGAGTAAATAAAATCTGTAAAGTACAATAGACATAGTACCAGGAAAAGAAACTGAACAAAAAGGTTAAGCAATTAGAATGATGGAAAGGAGAAAAAAGAAAGGAAAAAATCGTGCATGTATAGCCACAGGATAACTAAGATGATTGTACTAGTAATTTTATCAGTTTCTTGAAGGAAGCAATTAATGCTTAAAATTTTTATTTTAACCAATTTTACATGTTTATATCTGGTAATCTGAGCAACTACATTGAAGACAACACTGTGCAATATAACAACCACAGCTGAATTCCTACCATCTTTTTTTGAAATTGTGTATCACTGTAATCCCCTATCTAGTTTTCTATTCTCTTCAAAATTGAAAAAATTGAAGAAGTAAAATCTAGCCAGGCATGGTGGTGCACACCTATAATCCAGTACTTGGGGGGCTGAGGCAGGAGGATTGCAGTGAGTACAAGGCCAGCTTTGGTTACATAGTGAGATGCTGTATCAAAATAAAATGTAAACAATGAGAAGGTTTTGAACTAATAGTGTTTAGACAAGATATCATGTCTGCATCTTGTACTAGGAAAAACTACTACAAAGACAACAATATGCAATATAGTAATTATATAACTGTCCTACTAACCTATTTTGAAACTGTTTCATTGCTTCTTCTTTCTCAATAAAATTATTAAAATAAAAAAGAAAATTATTAAATACAATAAATAAATAAATAAAATGTAAAAACATGAATATAAATAAGTCATGAGTAAGCCTAAACATATACCTAAGTTCAAAATTCTCTAACATTGCAATGATGGAGCATAATACATTGTCAATTCTAGTATAAAGTTTTAAAACCAAATATTAACAGTAGCTATAGTGATGAAAAATATAATAATGATATGACTAGCAATAGCAACAATCTAAAATGTGAAGGGAAAAAATAAACGCATCAAGTTTCTATAAGCAATTAAAGTGAAGTCACCCAACATAAACTAGATGAGCATATACTGTATGTAATGAAGTCTCACACCAAAAAACAGATCACCAAAAGGTACAAGCATATATTTGACAAAACTGAATGAGAAAATAAACAGCAAAACAATAATACCAGCAGATTTTAATATATCATCCTCAAATATGGATAGATCATGTCAGCAGAAATCAAAAAGGAGAATTCACAGTCAAAAATACTAGAGAACAAATTGACCTGATGGACATATCTATAGTAAATTCCATTCAACAGTTAGAATACAAATCATTCTTATGCACACATGGAACATTTTTCAAAATAGAGCATATATTAGGCCACAATGTAATAATTAAACACATGCAAGACAAACAATGTCATCTCAAGCATCTTTTCTGATGATAATGATGGCGTGAAACTAAAAATCAACAGGAGAAAATGGAACACTCATCAGTAAGTAGAACTAAAGGAAACTTTCCAAAACAATCAATAAGTAGAAGAAATATATATATATAGTTTAACTAATGTATCCTCATTTATCCCTATTTTAAAGTTATTTATAAAGCCTTATCTATTTTTAATATTCTCTTTAAAATTGAAAAATTTTAAAAAATAAAATGTAGCTAGGTATGGTGGTGTACACTTACAATCCAGCACTTGGGAGGCTGAGGCAGGAGGATTGCAGTAAGTTCATATATATATAAGAAAATATCTTGAAACAAACCAAAATGAAAACAAAACTTAGAATTACTGAGAAAACAGTCCAAAAATGACATTTTGAGCTAAAAAGACCTATTTCTTTTTTTAAAATTCTCAAACAAATACTCTAAATATAAACTAGAACAAATTAGAAAAATCACACACTAGGCAAAAAAAAAATGGAAGAAAAAAATGAAGGTAGAAATAAATAATTACAGAAAAGAAAAAGATAAAAGTGTCAGTTGGTATTTGCACAAATAATTTTTAATACTTTACATAGACTAGCAAAGGAAAATAGGGAGGATTCTATTAAGAACAATAAAAGAGACTGTTATAACTCATACCATAAAATACAAGAAAGAAACTATTGAGATATACATAATATACATATATGTTACACATTATATATCATTTCAAAATAGGAAAGAATATCTGTCTAACACATACTATCTGTATACTATTAATCTAAGGTAAATAAACCAAATACCACAATGAAAAACTACTGTGTGATCCTAGTTATTGTGGAATCTAAAGTAGTCAATCTCATAGAAGCAGAGTAGCCTTGAGAGATTCAGGGATGGGGAAAGTGGAGACACATTAGTTACAGTGTATAAACATTCAGTTAAGAGATAAAGAATATCTGGAGAGTCACACTGTACAGGATGGTGACTATAGCTAT